CCCTCCCCCCCCCCCCCCCCACCCCTCAGAAATTCCGTACCCATAAATATCGAGACCTAACACATTAATTCATGTCATGTTAAAATGTTTGAACCGACGTTTGAACTAATAAACAACTGACTTAGAAGTGCTTCACTTCAAATGGCATAGCAGCTGACTTTTTCTTCATTTTTCGTACAAGAATCTCGGAACGTACAATAGCCCAGTCAAAGTTTTAATTTATGCATGGTCAAAACAACAAATCGAATTACTTTACACACGGAGTAAAGTCGTCACGCAACATTCTTTTCAAAACAGCTGTTTCTCAAATGTCGTTTTATTTTTTTCTTTTACCAAAGGAATACATCAATTAAGTCATGCGCTTTGTCTCTGTAGTTTGTAAATGATAGTAAATTCATTTTATGCCTTAGTTTTTTAATTTGTCATACATTTCACATGTGAAACACGCATTGTTCAGTCGTTCTATAAATGACATGAAATCTCGGCTACCGCTCCAATGCCCCTCGCTGTCCACAGTTACCTATAGTTCAAGACAAATGGCTTTGAATCGACTTTGCTCACTTAGCAAACTATTAACTACACGGATAACAATGAAAATATGTGATAACCTAGTTACGGAGAGACCGAAACGGGGAATAATTTTGTACGAGTATCAAACGAGATAAACAAAGTACGAGATAAACAAAGTACGAACCTCAAGCTAAATACAGCACAATCTTCAAAGAATAAAATATCATCAACTTCATTGTTCATTAATTGCTGCACCTCTCCGTCGGCATTTTGTTCAACTTGACGTCCAACAAACACGATGCTCAGGATTGCCATCTGTCGTACAATACGTACAACGTCGGAAGAAAAATGGAAAATACATGACAAAGAATCTAACGTTTATTTCTGTCGGTTTGGTTTCCTGAATCGTTTGGGAAAGCACGATAGTATCATTCAATCGCAGTTCACACCCACTGGAAAGAAAAACTCTTTGAGTAGCCCCCTCCCCTTCGGAGATTTA